TGTACAGTTTGATATTATAGATGCTATTAGACTCCAGTTGATGACTCCAGTGATCTATATCTATTGTGCTGTTACACTCCTAAATATAATTTTGGGAATATGACTAGCTTATTTCCAGTTCTGCATTGGTTCCTGTTTGGACTGTTTTTCTTTCTCACGCGTTTTGTACAGCAGTGCACGAGAATACATCATACTGATTCAGTGGATTTACAGGAATTGCATGGTTTACGGTAATGAATACCGCTCCTCATTACACCACTTTGCCCTAAAGCTTAATTTGGATACAGGTACTAGTTAGTGGAGCTCTTAGCATTTCGCCTAGACCAACTGAAACATCAACCCACACACGGAAGACAAAACCACGAGTGGGTGAGATTCACGGCACCTGCTAAAATTTTTTATATGACTGTGACGCATACAAAGAATCATAAATATGAAACATTACAGCAACACGACAAGCGTTTATCACTGTTAGTATCACTGTTATTGCATCCATCCTTAAAAAAAATTTCCAAGAAAAGGGACAAATGCAAGTGAAACCCATCAGCATAGAAGCATGTAGTACTCGGAATACAAGTAAGCAGCGCAGTTTTCGATTCCCCTTTTTAAAATTCCCTAAAAATCCCTCTTGTAAAAGAGATTTTAATCTCAATGAGACTTATATTAATAAAGACATCTGAATACAATATTAAAAGTAAAACTATATTGGGGAATTTAAACATTTACAATGGTCCATATCCAGATAAACATATTTAGACTCTTAAACCATATAATGTATAAATGTCATTGGATCAGATAAAATGTTATGTTAAGTATTCTTATGCAATCTTTTACCTATATGCTGCTTGCTTTGATATTTTCCCCTTCAATACAATAGTCGTACATTATAAGTCCAGATTATAAGAAGGTTGGTTATAAGATAATAATACTTGTTCAAGCTTACCTTGAATTAGCTTTGATGATGACTGGAGTTATTTTTTGTTCTCTTTCTTCTGCGCTCTCTCTCTCTCTCTCTCTCTCTCTCTCTCTCTCCCTCTTTGATTGGTTGGTACTGTCTTTACTGTCACTACCACACCTAATTTCTTTCTCTGAAAACATTCAGTTTCACTTTCAGTATGTAGCGAAGTGTGTTTACGGACAGCTCCGCCCCATGATTATTATTAACCGAGAAGTATCTAGAGCTGGGGTCTCCAAGCTCGGCCCTGATAAACTCTTCTGCCTGTAGCTTTCTAGTAATCCTGAAGACATAGATTAGCTGGTTTAGGTGTGTTTGACTAGGATCCCACTCATCCCAGATAGCAAGCAACCAAATGTTAAATCAATGTTAATGTGTCAACTGCATTGAATCATCACTTTTGTTGAATATTTTTTTTTTTCAAATTTCATCCAAAAATCAATGGTAATGGCATTGAAGCCATGTTACAATGTGATTTTGGTTCAACATCATGCTTATTGGACTCTCAAAATATGAAGCACATAACTACAACTGACTTAAAGCCACACCGTCTGAAATCAATTGCAAATAAAAGAAGATAATAAATCACACAAGGTTTTTTTGAGAATTAACAGAATTTTAGATGTTGATATTGTATTGAAAATATTTGATCACCATTATGGTGATCAGTGATTCATTTAGTACATATAAAACCAGCATGCATGAAGTATTGCTGAGATCCATATGCTGATTATTGATGTCTCTGTGTATCTAAAAAAACATATCATATCATATAATGTAATTTAATTGAAAATCACAATGTCTGATCTATTGCAAGAATTATCAGTGAATATAATCTAGTAATAACAAATTTTTGTTTGGTCAGGGGTAAAATCAGTGACTTATTCTACTTCTAATTATGCTTAAAACTATGTTATCTGAACATCTTTGTTTGTGGATTACTTTCCCACACAATATGTGTTTTGGTAAACGCTGTTACTGTAAACTAAAGCAATCACTGATCACCATAATGGTGACCAAATATTTTTCAATAAAACATTAACATCTAAACCTCTATTAATTGTCAAACAGAACTTCTGCTGAGATCTTGAGAGGTTTTTAGTCTTCTTTTATTTCAGGCTGTTACTGTGTTGTCTGAGATTACATTACATTTCATTGTAACATTGATTCAATGCCATTACCATTGATTTTTTGATTTTTTTGTTTAGTGTTATTCGTTTTTCTTTTCTGGTTTGGATTACATTTAGATTTGGAGCCTTAAATAAATTTGATTTTTTTTGTGCTTTTGCCTTTATCGTCGGTAAGGGATATTTAATTTATTTCAGTTTATTTATTTTTGTGTTATTTGATTATTCTGTGATAATTAACAATTAATGTTGTTGCTGTTTCTTGTGCATTTATATTTTGTTCCCAATTGCTTGGTTTTCTTCTCTTTTTTAAGAGTAGGCTTAAAGAGTAGGGTTGATAGCAGGCTGGCTAGCTTTCCTTGGAGGGTTCAGGGAAATTCTCCTGTTTCTAGAGTGTGCGGTGTAGGTTTTCTTGCTGTGGATTTCACTGGTGGTTGTACTTCTGAGATTTGGTGCACGGGTTACTCAATGCGGGCTGATTTGAAGCCCACTGTTTAGCCAGCCCTAATAGTGGTACACCCCAGCTCAGTGGTGAGACCTTGCTAATGTTTCTTCGTGTGATCAACCTAGTCATATATAAATCACCTCTGGTATATCATTGCTACCATTGGTCCTCTATTTTGTACTTATCCACGCCTCATTCTCTGGTGATTGTGGGAAAGTGATCAAACTTGTGTGCCCTTAATTGGTGTTGCAGCTATTTGATGCTGGGGTGGTGTAGTCGCTACTTGCTAGCTCTGTATATGAGAGTGTCCCCGCCATGCCACAAGTATATGAATAATGCCTTTCTTCAATCAACTTTGGAGTTTTCTATAGGTTTTAGATGTACTTATGACACAAATCAATGTCGCTCTCTAAACAAAAATTGTGTATAAAGAGTATATGTGCTTAAGTACATGTATACATGTATACATATAGTGGGGTCCACATTGAATCTGGGACAAATGTTTTAGGTTTTAGGAAAAAACCCATTATCTTATAGGTCATTCTTAGAAATGAGTCACTGAATCATCATTTATTTAATTCGTTCAAAACGTACTACATTCGCTGTTATTATCATGTGACCGACCAGCGTCAGTTCCGTCTCTTCACTGCCATTTAGGCTACAAATCCTCTCTCGTGGCCTCATGGGATAGTAAAGTGTCCATCATATGCATAGGCTACTTTAGAATCTCGCCAGAAGGACATCTTGGTCCTTAAGTGTAAATTCAGACCTACTTTTGTCACATACTGTTTTTCGCCAACTATAGTAGGGAAGTATGTGATTTTGGTCTTGTGTGAATCACTGACTGAATCATAACTTCAGCTGATTCGTTACACAAAATAATTCAGAACTAAACAAGTGTGTCCCTGAATCATTCATCCAGCTGATTCATTCAAAAACACTGGTCCATTCAGGAACAAAATGAGTGACTGACCTAATGAACGATCACTGAATCATTTGTTCAATCAATTCGTTGGAAAACGAAACAAGGAATAAATCAAGTGATAACTGTGTTTTGCATGTTGCAACGGTTCTCCTGTGGAAGTTTATGAAACTCAAGGCTGTTTTGTCAGAGCTGACTCGTCTGAAAGGGGATTTACATGTCACTGACTTTTAATTTGGTTATATTTGCATTCTTTGTATAGCATTTGTTTGTGATTGTACAAGAAGCAAAGAGGGAAGATAAAATGGAGAAGTTTAGATTACCTGTTGTAACACATCACACAGGCTCCTCAAGCACCTCATTGATCAATATGACGTTTGATAACCACACTGTACTGAGACACATTTCTTGTTATCAGAAAGTACCGGGAGCTTGATTGTCTGGCATGGCTGAACTTATTATACAGCGAACTTCTAACTTTACAGGAAATCTTCCACACGTGGTCTGAGGAAGGATTACAAAATCATAGCCGACCCCAGTCACACAGCCTGTTTAACAAACTGCCATCAGCCAGGAACTTTCAATCTAGAACCAGCGGATTGAAGAACACACTGAACAAAAATCCTAATTTTACAGATGTTAATTTTCTTTCATTTTAAATTACTCAACTCGTCTCAAAATAATATCTGTAAATTAAAAATTCAGCTGTTGTTTTAGGTATTGGGACATTAATGACAAATTGCAGTAATTCAAATTTTTGCACTTTATTTAAAGGACCAGACGGTTTCTGGTCCCATTGACTTCCATAGTATATATTTTTTCCTACTATGGAGGTCAATGGGAGCATAAACTCCCTGGTTACTTATATTCTTCTAAATATGGAAGTCAATTGGACCAGAAATCCCATTCATAGTATATGGAAGTCAATGGGACCAGAAACTGTCTGTTTACTGATATTCTTATAAATATGGAAGTCAATGGGACCAGAAATCCCATTCATAGTGTATGGAAGTCAATGGGACCAGAAACTGTCTGGTTACTGATGATATTCTTCTAAATATGGAAGTCAATTGGACCAGAAATCCCATTCATAGTATATGGAAGTCAATGGGACCAGAAATCCCATTCATATATGGAAATCAATGGGTCCAGAAACTGTCTGGTTACTGATAATCTTCTAAATATCAAAAAATTGGCTGAATGGATTCGAAAATGGTAAAACTCAACTGTTTAACTGAGGGAGTTGTAAAATGAGCCTATTTTCAAAAAAAGTGGAGTATCCCTTAAAATAAAAGGTTGATTTTTTAAAATTTTTTATTTTTTTGAGTTTACTGAGCGGGTCTCAGTGATGATGATTTTTTAATAATGTGTGTATTCGGGTTTTTAAATGTATGTACATAGTTGGTTCTTTGTGTGTACACATGTTGAAACTCAAGCAACAAAAACTTCCCCACGGGGATAATAAAAAAGTCAAGTCGAAGCTTGTAGACCTAAAGTAAGACCCATGACACACTGGCAATGCGAGTTGAAAAAAAAAATCAGAGAAATCCAAAAGGTTCATGCATATTTTATTCAAGAGTAAAAAAGAGATTTGTCCCATAGGGCATGCTCACACTGTCCGTACTGTAGGTCAGGAAATCATGATGCTCAGAATGAAGCTCCAGAGAAAAATACAAGATATAGAATCACAAATAACTCATGAACATTTTCATTATTCATAACATAAAGCACAATGAGCAACCAAATCAAGGATGAGGCAAAGTGGAATAAACCAGCAGAACTCTTAATAATAATTAATAATCATAAATAACCAGAATATTGTTAAGATTAGAATAATGATCAGAATATACTTCTCCTTAAAAATGTGAGACACGTTAAGGTGTGCCTATATTCGATTTACATTTGAAATAACCATGCAGTCATGCTTTGGCAGCCTGGATGTCTTTTCACAGAATTATGTTCCTTCACACTACTGGATAACTTCTGTACATCCATAAAGTAACGCAAACGATTTAACACCTCAGTGGAGCTTAATTAACTGTACAGCAATGTAAACGAAAAAAAAAAAAAAAAAAAAAAAAACGAACAAACAATAAATAAATAAATAAATAGCTTGAATACAAAATAAAGTAACATGAAAATAAGCAATAACAAAACGTTCCTTAAAAATATACGCCATTTATATACAAAATAAACTCCCAGCGAAGCTGGAAATCCGTTCAGTGCACCTATACAGGACAAGGACCTGTTTGAAACCACCCATAATGGCCCGACATAATCCCTCAGGTCAAATCACCTCCCTGTTTCTCACACACACATATACACAGGCAGCCTATAGTCTGTGATGCAGCTGACAGAATGCTTGCTTCCCGCACGAGAAGAGGCGGGAAGTGCCAGACTCAGTCCGAGGGACACGGGGGAAACTGCCATAGCAACCACAGCACGACGTGACAACGGCGGATTTACACAACGCAGCAACGAGCACACAGCTGAACAGCATGAGGGGCGTTACGGCGACTCCAAACCTCTCTTATTTGCGGATTAATCTTGATAACCTGTGTGAAGTTATTTTGTGTAATATTAGTTATTCTTTAGATATAGAGATTACTAGAGTAGCAAAACCTAGAACTGCGAGAGAAGTGTGAAAAGGAAATGGTTATAAGGTCCTTGCGCACGTTCGAACGCAAACGTACACTCCTCCGCTTTCGAATAAATAGAGCGTTGGCATTGTGTTTAACGTTCCAAGGCAGGCCAGGGAGAAAAAAAACAAACGGTAAGCGTTTATGAAAACCTACTTATCATCATATAATTATATATCACATGTCTCCCACACACACAGACACGCACGCAGAAGTGCAAACACGCATAAATAAACATCTCTTCGGACAAAAGAACAGGAAATGCCCTCTTCTCTGTGTTCACATTTCCATTACATAGCCCCATATCCATAAAACTACATATCCCATCATGCAACTCTCATGCATGATCTCCTTCGCGCGGCCGTACCGTCCGTCTCGAGTTTGTTGTTGAGGCCGTTGAACGTCAAGCAGGGAGTTCTGTAAAATATATCACATAGTCCATCTGCTACATAGACTGTAGCAGTGAAAGCGAGGGGAGAGGGGAGAATTGCATTATGGGAGGAGGAGCAGGGGCGAGCGAGGGACCGGAGGAGTAGATGAATCACTGGATATTGCTGTTGTCGTCCGTGCCGTTGGATTCGGCCATGTTCATCTTGCCCATCGACAGTCCCACGCTGTTGACCACGTCTCGGCGAGGGGGCATGCGCTCGTTTATGCGGTCCAGACCCTTCGCCTCCTCGAAACTGTTGATCTTGTGCTGAGGAGAAAAGCCACGAATGGCTATGAGGAAGAAAAGAGAACAGCAGTCACCAATTGCGCGTAGGCGAAATCGAAAGCGGACTATCACATATAGCCTACCACGAATGATCACGTACTGCTAGATGGGTGTAATATTATAAATTTGATACAATCACAAAGTGTACTCTTGACATAGTGATAGTACATAGGATATCAAGAGATACACATGTCCGGGTCATATTCCCCTTCAAAATTATGATTTTTTTTAATTCAAAAAATTATTATTAATGTATTGTGAAAGGGCTGTCAAACGATTAATCGCGATTAATCGCATCTAAAATAAAAGTTTGTGTTTACATAATATACGTGGGTGCACTGTGTATAATTATTTTGTATATATATAAATACACACACGCGCATGTATATTTAAGAAAAAAATAAATATTTATATATAAAATAATTATACACAGTGCACCCACATATATTATGTAAACAAACTTTTATTTTGGATGTGATTAATCGCGATTAATCGTTCGACAGCCCTACAATAAATACAATATTTAGTTTAAACACACTGACACAATCTTGTGCATATATCTTTGTGAGGACATTCATTGATTATGCAATCTCTAGCTCCTTTCTAGGACTGGCCGAAATGTTGTCGCTTTGTTCTCACTCCAATGGTCAAAAACTCAAACTGGACCTCACAAAGACAATTGTACAAGTACTCTCTCACACACACACGTCCAGATCAATAATGGTAATGACATTTTCAGGAATAATAAATGACATAAAATGAATATCATAATGCAAAAATCTTAATGTTCTTAATTTGTTTAATATTTTACATTTACTTTATGCCAAATATTTTTCTTTTTGGAGTGAAATGTGACCTGGAATGACTTAAAATTTCACTCACAGACAGACACCTCCACTGATACTGCTATGTATTAGTCACAGTATTGACACAAATTCACAAATTCACAACTGCACATATTTCACAACCAAACACATACACACAATATATGGTGTACAAGGGAACAGCTGTGGTGATGACAATGGAAGTTACATCTTATCACTTTCCCTCCCAGTTCAGATGGAAACGCACACAAAGACCAATAGCACAGTCATTGTTTCCATTAGAAAACAAACCCACATTTTTTTTTGTAATGTAAATTGTATATGAACTTTGATCAGTTCTGATGGAAACAGAGCTTTGTCATACCACAGTCAGAGATGATGTGAGACCCTCTCTTGGGTTTGCTCTCAGACCACAGAAGATTTTGGCTTTCAAATGTATAGAAACTCTTCCCATCTCACCCTGCGTGCTGGGAAAAGAGCTCTGGAAGTATTTTGGCCACTGATTTTCTCCATAGGCATTCCAAAATATTCTTTGATAACGAGCTATATAAAGCAAATGAAGCAAATTACCCAACTCTGAGATGAATCGCAAAACTACAACATTTGAATTTATTCTTTGAGCTATTTAAAATATCTGGAAAACAGATTGTGTACTAGTGTCTTGTACAAATCTTGTGTATGAATATTTTTCCGAGTCAATTCGTTCGTTTTGTTCGTTGAATGACTCGGAAAAAGATTCGTTCATGTTGATGAACGAGTTCAAACAGGAGAGTCACAAACGTGCGTCATAGAACAGAGCAAGGCGAGCATTTGTGTACTAGTGTTTTCATTGTTAATTAAAACTACGTGCACGTTAATTATGTACTAAAAGCGGGAAAGCTTTTCCTTTGCGTTTTTCGCGAACAGACAACAACATTGTCAAAACAATCCTCGTTCACACGGATCTTTAAAATCGACTAAAAACTCTGGTCAGTAGTTGGCGATGTCTCTTTGTATTTTTCTATAGACTGAACTCGCAATACCGTTTTCACAAATTCACGTTTTGTAGTTTATATGGAGACGATAACAGTATCGTTTTCAAAAACTTTGAATTTGAATCCTGTTTTCAAAAGTTTGCATTTTCAGGTCCGTGTTCATGAACTTTTATTTTGTTTATATTCTGTTGTTTTGTATTGCCTGTTTCCTGTTTCCTTGATTGCCAGTTATTCATTCAATAGTATTCGCAATTAGAATAAGTGTGTCCCAAATTGTATGATTGAAATATGTTTTCCAAAGATACCTAGATGGTCTACTTTTTCAGTTTAGAATCCAAAGTGCAGATCCGTGCACACTCAAACGGCTAACATGCAGCCGTCATTTTGAAATAGCTCTGGTGGGAAGAAAACTGGAAGTGGCGCCTTTAATCACAGGAGAGTCGCGAATGCGATGGCGTATTGTTGTGTTTAATGTAGAAATTTGTTATTCTAAAAATGTACATACATTTCTTTCATACTTTAGACTATATACAGTGCAATTTATTTTTATAAATTAATTTTTTTTATATATTCAGAACATAAAAAAGAAGCAGGAACGAACTATATACATATCCTATATTGGATATTAACATCCAATAGTGTAAATTGCGGCAGCAGCTTCAGGTTGGTAGTCCAAGGCATTGTTGTCTATCTATACTTTCGGGATAATTCCCACCGGAGCCTCACTTTCAATTTCAAAATGGCGGCTGTGTGAAATCAGCGTTTATTGCCCACAACCCAATGCGCGTTGGACGAGAATTCGATTAGAACTACAAATATGGCGAATGTGCGAGACCAAGAGAGGTTTAAAAAAAGGGGTTTGAGGGATAAATTATCAGTATCAAACCTAACTAAAAGATATTTACTCAATGTTATCCATATTATATTTCATCTGCAACGGCATTGTGAACTTTTTTAAAGATACGTTTGGTCATTAACCTTTACATGCATCATTTATGCAAACACATGAGGAGAGTACACTGCATGAAAGACCCACGACTGGCAGATCAACGTGCTACTACATGTCTCTACGAAACGGTGGGAAATTAAATTAAATGAAATTGAATGTGGATAATTTTAACAAGTGCATACTTGTAGGGCGTAGTATAATGCGAATTTGGACGCAGCAACATTACTTGATTGTCTCACCTGTTCCTCGTCATCCTGTGCATTTATACTCTGTGTGTTAATGTGTTAATGTTTCGTGCTGGTATGTATCTCTGTTATTTCATCGTTTGTGGATTATCAAGTCAAGCCAGTGCATGATAATGCTAGGTCAGTCTCACAAGGTTAATATGTTATAGATTAAAAATGCTGGAGATTTTAAATAGCATTTCAACTTCCAGAACCCTCATTGACCGTTAAGTCATTGTTTACCTAATATCTGTGAAAACGGTTTAGACTCTGAATGAGTTTAAAAACAAACCCTGTCATGGAGAGGTCACATGATCCCTGCAGATCACATGGTCACGACAGACCAAACCCAGAGTGAGTGCGCGAGGAGCGGCGCTGGGGTGATCAGCGTTTGGGGTGTGGTGCTGTAAGAATACTGGGTCATATGTGAGAGGCAAGGGGCGCGTGCCCCAACCCGACCATGGCCCAGATTCTTGCCGTCTGCTGAGTCATTCTGTAACCTTGCTGAATAGTAATGTGTGCCATTGGGGGGGAAAAGGGTGGAGAACAGCAGAGCAGAGTCTAGCATTTACACAAGCAGGATTATCAATTATCAACAGAGGATGTCATTATTTATATATCTCTCTCTCTATATATATATATCTATTCATATAATGATATATATATATATATATATATATATATAGCATATACATACAGATGGGATCAGGATCTTTTTTGTTGTTGTTGCTAAAATAGGTTTGTCTATTGGCTGGATGTAAGTGTTATGGCTGGTGTGCTGGTATTGACTGGTTTAAACTGGTCTACCTGTTCTCCCAGCCTCACAACAAGTGCCCAATCCCCCTATAAAACTAGCAAACAAGACTGGTTTGACTAGGATGAGAGACCATTCAAGACCAGAAAACCAGCTTGGGCTGGTTTAAACTGTTTCTTACAGCAAGGATACACTTATCACATTATAGAGTATATATGATTATGGGAAGGAATTAACTAAAGTGATGATCAAACCTGACAGACTGATTACATTAGACCTTTTAGGGTAGAGTAAGGTGAATCTGTAGTCTTTATAATTAGCAAGCCTATAGGTACTCTACCATATGATTATGAATATGAATATATTTTACAATGTAATATACTGTATTCCTGTGATGACAGCTGCATTTTCATTTGCTGCTCAAGAATCAATTCTTATTATCATCATTGTTTAAAACAGTTCTGCTGCTTAATATTTTTGTTTCAACAAACTAATTTCAACTTTTGTTACATTATAAGTGATCAATTTATTTCATCCTTCCTTGACAAAAGTCTTCATTAAACCACAGAATTTTGAACATAGTGTATGTCCCCATTTAGATATTTAGATAAATGTGTGTGCCTCTGTGAAATACACAATCCCTGACCAGTCATAGCGCCCACACGCTCAGTTAGCTAGGCTGCGCTGTCTAGCTAGCTAGCGTGTTACAGCGGTCACTATGAAACCTCCGAGCAGCACAAAGAGAGATAGAGGCCGGCCAGTTTACCTTCTCCATCCTCAACCGTCTCGACTGCTTCAATGGCCTCGATGGTAGCTGAGGAGGCACAGAAAGACAGACGGAGAGAAGGAGAGAGGAAGGGAGAGAGGGAGGATGGATGGGGGAGTTTATAGTGACAGTCATGCACGCAGCACAATCCCCCAGCATTAGCTGCCACGGGCAGTTAGCAGTTAGCGTTAGCTGGTTAGTTTCCCAGTATGTTCGTGTGTGCACATTTCAGATGGTTTAATTAGCGAAGAGAATGAACGAAAGTGTTTCACTAGAAGAGAGGTGTTAGCAAACATGTGCTTGAGTTTGTATGACATTGTCTTAGTGACCTTGAAAGAGAAAAGAGGTTGTGATTGGAAAGTGAAAGAGCGATGCTTGGTTTTGTAACTCACCGCTTTGCAAGGTCTGTTTTCCTCCAGACAGTACACCGCTCGGCAGCATGCCAGTAGGGGTCAGACCTTTCAGGGTTAACACGTTCTCACTCTCCTCCCTGTCGAAATACAAACCAGCATACATGTTGATGTACAATTGAAATAAATAGAAATTCAAGCTAAATAGAAATATTAAAATTTAAAAATAAAAGCTAATTAAAAATATGAACATATATAAATGTTGCTAAATATACTGTACAATCAAGCTGAATAGAAATATAAAAAACAATAAAAATGACTAAAGCACATAATAAAATTACTTAAACTTAAAATAGTTAAAATGAAAACAGAAAAAAGCTCATTCAAAAAAATAACAAATACTATTATAGCATATAAACAATACTAAAATATTACTCAAACTAAACTAAATAGAAATTCAAGCTAAACAGAAATATTAAAATGTAAAAATACAAGCTAATTAAAAATATGAAAATATATTATAGTATATAAATAAAGCTAAAATATTACTAAAACTACATACTGTACAATCAAGCTGAATAGAAATATAAAAAACAATAAAAATGACTAAAGCACATAATAAAATTACTTAAACTTAAAATAGTTAAAATGAAAACAGAAAAAAGCTCATTCAAAAAAATAACAAATACTATTATAGCATATAAACAATACTAAAATATTACTCAAACTAAACTAAATAGAAATTCAAGCTAAACAGAAATATTAAAATGTAAAAATAAAAGCTAATTAAAAATATGAAAATATATTATAGTATATAAATAAAGCTAAAATATTACTAAAACTACATACTGTACAATCAAGCTAAATAGAAATATAAAAAAACAATAAAAATGACTTAAGCACATGATGAAATTACTTAAACTTAAAATAGTTAAAAAGAAAACAGAAAAAAAGCTCATTCAAAAAAATAACAAATACCATTATAGCATATAAACAATACTAAAATATTACTCAAACTAAACTAAATAGAAATTCAAGCGAAATAGAAATATAAAAAACCTTATAAAAATTACTAAAGCGCATGACAAAATGACTAAAACCTAAACTAGTTATCTAAAAAAGTAGTTCTGTTTTTAGATAAAACAGAATATCTAAAAAATAAAAGCTAATTCAAAATATTAACAAATAAATAAATACTAAAATATTACTAAAACTAAAATAAATAGACATTCAAGCTTAATGTAAATATTTTTAAAAAAAATGACAAAAGCACCACAAAATCGCAAAAAAAAAAAAAGGTTAAAATGAAACCAGGAATATATAATAATAATAAAGGTTAATTTCAAATATTAACAAATACCCTTGTATATAAATAAACATTTAAGTTTATTGCAAAATATGCATAATGTACATGAAATATGTATTTTGAGGACATAGGAAGACTTGCACTGCTTCATGGGAGTGGGTGGTGGAGCCAATGAGCCTTTTGACACATTTAGCTTGAAGTTTCCAGCATCATGACTAATGTACATTTTCACCACGAATTCCACTGTTAAATACGATTGTATTAAAAAATAAGTTGAAATAATGAGGGCTGATGGCTTCAACAGCAGCAAATAATCTCATAGTTCATAGTAGGGAGGGATGTCTACAAAGTTGTATAAGTTATCGTTAAAAATCATTTTCCATACGGAGACATTTTTTTACTTCCTGAATCCAACTGTTGCACTTTATTTTAGTTAATCTTAACAACAGTGTGTCTCAGGCCATTGCGAACACACACATATTGCTGTATTATTTAAAAAAACAATTATGTTGTAAACATCCAAACCACAAACATGTGTTCCCAACCCTTCTAGACTCACCGCAGAACTGAGAACATTTTGGCCATTTTGCCGATGGCACGGATCTTGTTTCTGATGACCTCTTTACGGGCAGCTGCAGCATTAGCTGAGAGAAACCAGGAAACAGGCTTATAATTCATAAACAACACACTGAAGCTGAATATTCTGTACAAATGACACATTTAAAATGACACAATTTTTAGATATCTCAATTTTTTTTAAAGCTACAGTGCGCAACAATATGAAGTATCACAAAAATTGGACAATAAGTTCATTTTAGTTGTCATTTGGTCCTATTTGACACTTAAAATTAGGTGAAATTAGAGTAAAAATATGTTGAGGAATGTGCGGCCCTCACCATCAAAGATCTCATCTCCGTCCATAAGCTCGTCATCAGAGCAGATGCTGAGGACATTCACCAACATCTCGGTCACTGTGGAGGCGTTAAAGGTCAAAAACGCAAGATCTTGTGACATTTCAGCAAAAACTATGAACAATTACATTAACAACAGCAAAAAAATAAAATGTCACGGTACCATTTATACACCAGCCAAACTTGATCTTTTCATTTTCATCTCTATCATATGACTTTATGAGGTAAAATCAAAAAAATAAAGTTTGACCTGATATTGTAGTTTTGCTTGTTGAGACAGAAAAGATGAAATGCAGTTCGTATCAGACCTATTCCATCTTATTTGCTTTAACAAGTCAAGAGGGATGACTTTCCCTCACACACCCAGAATGAACAAAATGTAAGGAATCTGTGTAACCACAAAGACTGCTTGTCTCCAGGCAGAATCATGATGTCTCATGCTGTTTACCAACACTGATTCCTCTTTCCCACCTTTCTCTCCAACAAACGGAAGCGACCAGGTGAAGACGTCCATGAAGTTGGGCAGCCAGTACGGATGTGGCGAGCAGTTGAACTGCCGTATGTTCATTACGTTGTTCTCGTATTTAAGCACGGCCGCTGCGGAGAGGCATTAAGGCAGTTAGATTCACACATTACATGCTGTACATCTGTACATTTCTATCTCTTTCCACATGACTGTCATTAAATAAAATAAAAAAACACAACAATATACATTATTTGATCTATCTATCAAAATAATAATACATAATTATAATTCATAAATTATTGTGTATTATAGATTCAATATAAATGTATATATCTATACATAATATAAATATATAAATAAAGGTGACTTAACTGTATATATATATATATATATATATATATATATATATATATATATTAGGGCTGTCAAACGATTAATCGCATCCAAAATAAAAGTTTGTGTTTATATAATATATGTGGGTGCACTGTGTATAATTATTTTATATATATAAATAGACACATATATTAAATAAATAAATATTTTATATGTAAATAATATTTTTTTCTTAAATATACATGCATGTGTATGTATTTAGATATATACAAAATAATTATACACAGTGCACCCACATATATTATGTAAACACAAACTTTTATTTTGGATGCGATTAATCGTTTGACAGTCCTAATATATATATATATATATATATATATAGTCACCTTATATATATAGCGCTTTTTACAATACAGATTGTATCAAAGCAGCTTCAATATATACATATATAAACTCAATATGTATATATAAATATAAACTAGTATTATATATAAACTTCAATATAAACTATATATATATATATATAAACTGAATTCAGACCTTTGTTGTTGTAAACGTCCAGATAGTTTGGAGCAGAAAAGATGGTGATGAGAGAGGGGAAACCTGTAGTCTGACTCTTCCTGTACATACGGTAACTAAAAGAGCAAGAAAACAGAAAAGAGGTCGAAGAAAATTACAGAATTACCATCAAAAACATGATTAGAATAACACTGGGATGTTTTCATAAACATCAAGTACGTATTTGTGATAAAACCCTGTTCAAACTTTTTCAAAAAGCGTAGTCTCAGATCATAATTGTTTTGAATCCTTTATTCATGTTTTCTTTTAAAGAACTTGGCCTTTACTGTGCGAAAGCGTGCAATACAACACAACATTTTTCTTATTATCTTTATTAGACTGTGTAAAATGGAGTAATTTACTCAGTGAGCATGCTGTGTGCTGTTGTCGACTGTTGTACTGAGATTGTTGTGGAGTATTACTGACTGCTGTTTAGTTGACTGTTCTGGATGCCTGAGACAATGACTGATAAAAGGGCCTGGGCTTAGGTGAATGTGTGTGCATTGGTGGCATTTCAGATCAATGAACACTACTGTACTGTAATATATGTGGATTATGGAGAATCGATGTCTCTCTGTGTCTGTCGGTCAGCTGTGTACACTGATCGTCCATCAACAAACTCAATCCTGTCTGTCAATATACACATACAGTGAGTGTTTTAGGGTTTCTATATCTGTAGGAGGTGAGAAAGAGAGCTGAAGAGAAAAAAGCGGTCATATAGAAAAAGACTGGAAGTCAAAGGTGACATGTTGTTTTCTTACCCTGCGTCCTGCGCCTCATGTGCCCTGATGACCGACAGTAAGTTGTTGGTCTGTAAAAACTCACACACTGCAGGATAGCTGTGGATAGCAAAATGATAAAACAGACAGAATGGGTTAACAATGGTAAACAATATTTAGTTATTGATAAACACTGATAAAAATAACTCATTTGGCTAAATAACTGGTTAGCTGGTCTGTTTTTGCTAGTTTTATATGCTAAGCTAAACCCCAGCTAACGGGAACGTTCTGGCAAGGTTCTCTCAGTTATGAACAAAATTTGCTAAAATCAAATGACAAATCAAATTAGAAATGTAATGTTCTTCCAGTATGTTAATTCAAAATGATATAATCCGTAAAATGTTAAAAGGTAGCTCAAAAACATTTTGGTAACGCTTACTTTTACAGTACAGTACTTACAGTATACACAGTTTACTTACCTAGAAAGTACTGGCTAATATAAGGTAAGTACATGGAACAGGGGTAGGTTTAGAGGTAGGTTACAGTACTAGTTATTACCCAGTAATTGTAGTTACTAAAATAAGTACATAGTATTTACATGGGTAACTGGACTGTAAAAGGAAGCGTTACCAACATTTTCTAGTTTTCAGGGTTTTTTTTTCCTGAAATGTTTTTTTTTTGTCACGACCTAGTATTTTTTTAACCATTTAAAAAATTGGACATTTTCATAACTTAACATTCTTATAACTTATTTTGTTAGTTAAATACTTTCTTAGCCAGGCTCAGAGACCAGCTAAGATCAGACTGTTTTTTTTATTTCCAAAAGGATCATTTTAGTGTGTCATTACTAATAGTCCAGCTAGCGCTTGTGATTTAGATCTAACATCACTTTTGAAACCTCTTCCTCAGTTCACTATGGTTTCATTTGATTATACAACCTTCCGGATATTTCTTCATACAGATGCTCAGGAGAGGTGTCAACTGTGTATTATTGTCTTACCGCTACGAGCCACCAGGGGGTGGCAGTGATGTAAATATGCAGCATACAGTGAAAACCACCATCATTTCCTGCTCAAAATATTACAACGGTCTAAATGTGGTCCTAGCAAAGAAATGAAGGCTCAGATGTTGTGCTCAGACTAGTCTTGTATGTTATTTAGTACTTTAACTTGGCAGTCTTGTCTATTTTTGTCTTGTCTATATACTGGCCTAAAGCGCAGCACACTGACAAACCAGCCATCCAATGTGTTTCATTGATTTCAAAAGGTTTCATAAGAAGTGAAAACAGCGAGGATTGTGGGTAATAACATTCACACCCGAGGCTCTCATTCACAGGCTGCGCAATGTTAGCTGCATTAGCTTAGCATTAGATATCCATTTTTTCTCTCTCTTTCCACATAGATTTTCTATAAGGGCTGATTCATCTAATCTTAATTTGGGTTTTTTTTAAGACAAAAATTGTTATGCCTGTTTAAAATGTGATTTTATTTATTTATTTATTTATTTTGTTTGTTCGGCCCAGGTTTGCTGTGCTGCTTTTGTTGGGCTACACAATTTGGCTAAAATATCATTGTAATGTGATTGTACATCTCTGACTATATGATAACAATAATTATAGTGTTATATTATCATCATTAAAAATAAATAAAATAAGAAATATATTACTATTGTAATACTTTCATTCACTGTAAGATAAAAAATAATAATTTTTCAGTGCAACACTAATATTTATGTCTTAATTTCTTCCTTTTCAAACATGAAACCATCAAATGTTTATTTTGGTGTAAAACTGAAATGCTTCTCCCTTTGTCTATAGATTCTCCTTTGTTGGGAACGGGTTTAAAAACGCTTCACTTTACAAATTTGGTAAAATGCTTCATTTAAAATGTACAGAGTGTATATGAAGAGTACAGATGCAAAAGCCTCTAAATGCCATTTGAAATTTTCTTCTAAAATGATCATTTTTATCAAGCTTGTATATTTAAGTTCAGTAATTTCACCTAAATGGCAATGATAATTACCTATTAATTGTCATTTAAGTGAAATTACTGAAATTACTGATTACAAGCTTGATAAAAATGGTCATTTTAGAAGAAAATTTCAAATGGCATTTAGAGGCTTTTGCATCTGAACTCTTCATATATTCTTTGCAGTCTGATAATCAAACATTGAAAGTCCTATTTTGATTTTATTTTTCGATTAATCGTTCAGCCCTATTTTCTATCGTCTCTCCTTTTCCTGTTCCATCATTTCTGTCTTTCTCTCAGGTTCTCACTATATCTCTGAATCTTCATATCTCCGTGGATCTGGCAGTAGTAGCCAGTTGTCATGGTAACGGCAGAGCGCAGATTCCCGTGGGATTGTGGGGATTCTGTGTTGTGCTGAAGCTGGTCACTGTTTGAACTTCTTTACAATTCCAATTAAACTCGCTCAGCACTTCAGGCGCTGGACACCTTTATTTCACTGTACTTAACCGGTCCTCGAGGAACATTGTTTTGCTCAGTGATTGCTCTTTCAACTCTGTCTCAGTTGTTTCTCCTAAAATTTCTTAGGGGCAATATAAGGAGACACAAATTACACAGTTGTTAACATACAGCAGTGGTTCTCAATCTCTTTTGGTCACGCCCCCTTTAAACCTTAAAAAAAATCTGTTTTTTTTTTCCGGCTGAATGTAGTAGCTCAGATCATTTGCTCTCGGAAGAATTCATATTGAGATCTCTGATTGTGTACTTTAGGTATCTTGTTAAATCTGAGCACAGTCTGAGAGATTGTTGAGCTGTCCAGGGAAGCCACATGTGAGGTTACTGGTTACTGTTTACTGGTTATGAGAAGCAGGAGAGACTCCATTTGCTGTCTAGGAGAACTCATTGATATACTAAAGAGATCTTGATTGTATGCTTCCTCCTCTTCCTGCTGTCATTTAGATAATTTCTGCACCTCTTCTATCACTTCTCATAGCGATCTCCATGAAGATGGCTGAATGGTTTACCTGTAAAAGTAGGAGCATCCACGGACAGAGTTGTGGCTGAAGTAATCTTGGCTTTTTTCATTGCCGAAGTCCTCCAGTGGGTCGGCCCACAGCAGATCACACATGGGGCCGAACGCTGGGGGCTCCTTGAACCTGTCCAACTGAGAGAGAGAGAGAGAGAGAGAGAGAGATGGGGGGGGTCAACATCACTACAATTTTGTACAATATTGTATGTCATCAAAATAATTAATTCATATTGGCGGAAGTGAGAGACTATACGGTTTGAATGTTTATATCTTCTAGATGTGAATTTTTTTATTTATTTTTTTGCAGCACACTAGCTTATAGATAACCTTAAGGCTAACATATTCATACTAAAAAACAAAAAAACAGGATTGCTGAATTTTCAGCATCATTACTCCAGTGTTCACACTTCAGTGTCACATGATCCTTCAGGAATCAATCTAATTTGCTGTTTTGTTGCTCAAGAAACATTTATCACTATTATCAGTGTTTAAAGGGATAGTTCACTTTGAAATCATTTTTTGGTGTTTTAGCTTACCTCAAGGGCATCCAAGATGTAGGTGTCTTTGTTTCCGCAGTAGTTTTAATTTTGATATTTTTAGGTCAAATCGTCCTTGTCTGTCAGTCATATAATGCAGGTCAATGGTCACCACCTGTTTAGATCTTCACAGTGAAAGGTAACGCTTCCGAAAATCTCTGTGTAAACAATGAGTGACATAGACGCGCGAGATATCACGTCCGGCGCTTGCGCAGACTGAAGCGCCCGTGCCCTCAGATCACTTGGACATGGCAAGAGGTAAAAGAGGTTGGAAGATCACTTGGTTACAAGAGGTAAAAACGATATTAATACTGTTTGTTTTCTCTCACAAACCGCTCGTTTCGTGTCTTAGGTCATCAATATGTACTTACATTTACGAGTCATTAAATCATGTTTAATTTGGACTTCTCTCTGCATGCTCTTTGAGGTGGTGACCATAGACCTCCATTATATGACTGACAAACAAGAACGGTTTGACCTAAAAATATCAAAATTGAAACTACTGCGGAAACAAAGACACCTACATCTTGGATGCCCTTGAGGTAAGCTAAAACATACCAAAAATTAATTTCAAAGTGAACTATCCCTCTAAAACTGTTGTGCTGCTTAATAATTTTGTGGAAACCCTAATATATATTTTTTTCTTTGATAAATGTTCAAAAGAACGATGTTTATTGGAATAGAAATCTCATCAATCTTGCATCACATTGCATCAATGTAAAAGTTACGTTTTATCGATTTAATGCTGGATTAATATTAGTCCTCCTCACCCTCTTGATGTCGTCTAACGTGTGGATTTCTGGAGACAGGCCGCCATGAACACACAAAAACTGCTGATTCATCAGTGCAGCCAGAGGCAGACAGTCGAACGCATCCATGCACGCATCGTACACCTGCTCTGAGTATTTGATTTTACCTGAAAGAAAGAGAGACAGAGATCACACACCTGCAGAGCGTCTGATTTCACCCTAGAGACCGGCAGAGAGAGAGATACAGATACAGATGGAAGAGTATGAAGTAATGTCGTTTCAGAGCTCAGAAATGAAGTGAGGTTTTATTTTCTCTGTATGAATCAAATTTGTACATTAAGCTCCTGCATTAATTTACACTTTCAGAGGACACTAAAGGAGAGAGAGAGAGTGTGTGTGTGTGTGTGAGAGAGAGAGAGACAGTCTGTGCTGTGTCAATCTCACTGCTCCAAATCTACCAATCTGTTCAGCCACATCACTGCATCACTCTCTCTCTCTCCATCTCTCCCTCCATCTTTCTTCACAAATACTCTCACTAATGACATGGGATCAATCAATATGTAGAGCTATGCTGTAGTGTAGAAGTATAAGAATACAAATCTGCTCTGTGTCGAGAATCAATACTGAATGTGATTATTAGCTTTTGAAATGTGCGTCACAATTAGTGTATGTTTAATTTAGTTATACTAACAAATGACCCCACAAAAGCTTTTTTTAAATCTCTTACAAGAAAAATAAATGTAAACAATGTTATGTTTACATTTTTATAATATATTTAATCATTAACAGAGTTATTAATGCTCTGTATTAAAATGTTTAATTATTTAATATATATGAATATTTCATATTAACAGTAATACATGTAATATATTATAATAATGCATATTATAAATATAAATTAATTAATAATTAATTAATAATTAAAATTATTGTAATGTGTTATATTCATTTTTATATTATACATGTATTATATGTATTCTCATAAAATTATATATATATATATATTAAAATAATTAAATAATAATAAGAAAATATTTATATAAAAATTTTTCACATATATCATTTCTTTTATTATATCATTTCTATAATTATAATTAAAATAATTAATAACACATATATACTTTCTTTTTAATATATCAGATTTCAGACTTTCTGTAGAGAGGAACACAATTATTGAATAATGACCTATTATTGACTGAATAACTTTCAGTCACAGACATAATATTCACACAATTTTTATTTTTAAATTAGATATTTATTTGAAATCATTTATTCATATTATAATAAACTGAAAACCAATTTTAGGTGTATGGTGTGTCTCCATTTAGATAGCACAATAAACATTTGTGTATAAGTTTGTGTGTGTGTCCTGGTAAACCCTGCAATATGGGGACAATATGTCCCCACAAAGCTGGCAATATCAGAAATCCTTGTCCTTTTGGGGATCTTTTGGTCCCTATGAGGAAAAAGCTTATAAATTATAGAGTAATATACAGATCACACTCTAAAAAATGCTGGGTTATGAAAAATGCAAATATTGACAAACCCGGCTTTGTGTTAAATTTATAAATTGCATTTTTTTAATCCAACAATTGGGTTTGTCCATATTTGACCCAAAATTGGATTAAAAATAACCCAGCATTTTTAGAGTGATATTATTATTATTTTCACAGGGTGCAAAATTAAAAAAACATATTTTACATTTTATTTAGGCTATTTTACATCTGTAGACCCTTGTCAGAATAGTAAAAAGTCACCCTAATGCTCCTGCCACCATCTTGATTTTTAAAATGATGTTTTTTTAATGTAAAAATGAATACAGTTTTCTGTGATGGGTACATTTAGTGTAAGGGGACAGAAAATGTGCAAAAATAAAAATCATTATGGAAAGTCCCCATAAAATATGGAAACCCAACGTGTGTGTGTGTGTGTTCTGTCAGTCAGCAGATGGTAAAGGAGGGCACTCACTCCTCCTCACTCCTCTCATCAGGGAAATCACACTCACAGGCTCCCTGGGCCCAACATTAACAGGCAAATTAATTTTCTGCTAATCATACTCCCTCTTTTTCTCTCTGCATCTCTCTTTCTGTCGGACAAGAGACTGCTCCAGAAAAAGATCTCCTTCAGAGGAGATGAGAGGTGAACCGGTGTTTTTCTAGGAAATGTATACGCTAGTTTTAAACTTTAAATGTAAGTGTCGAGACACCTACGGAGAGCTTTCCTCATGTTAGTACTCACATTCTTGTTTGAAAGTGAAATATTCAGTCAAATGTCTACATTCATGGTTTCCCCGCAGAAGAAACAGCGTCTTTGGGTAGAGGATTTTCAGCGACCAGAGGTAAAGGACACACTGAGGGAGAGAATACAGTTAGAAATAAAGATGCTTTCACAGACCACATCAAGATATCTGGACAAAGATGGTGTGTACTACAAACTAGGGTCCCTAAGCAGTGTGAAGGGTGACTCACCTCAATACTGAAGTACCCTCGGTCCACATAGTCCCCTAGAAACAGGTACCTCGTTGTTGCAGGAGACCCGCCAACCTCAAATAACTTCATCAGGTCGAAGAACTGTCCGTGGATATCACCACACACTGCAACCACACATAAAAGATCGGCATTAGCTGAAGGAAACACTAGCGCTTTCAAAACAATAAAAGAATTATAATAGTCAAAAGCTTTTAGCATAATGATCATTCGAAAAGTTGTAAATATAGAAGGAGAGGTATTGAAAAATTATATTTTAGTAAAATGTTTAATAATTTTAAACATATTCAAAATAAATAATAATAATAATTTAATTTGTAGTTATCAGTGTACCACCAGATATAAAACCATTAACCTTAAGAATCTACTGAACAAAGTACTCAAAAAAATAATAATGCAAAAAAGGATTTTAGGATTAGTTACAATTTCTTAAAATTTCTTACTTAAAACAATAATAATATCATTGGTATACAGATAGTGTAAATCAAAGGCAGGTATACAATTCTACATACAATTCTAAATAATACTAAACTGATGAAAGCGCAGCTATTCTGTGGAGAATGTGTATTTGAAGCGTTCAGATATTTCAGTATCGATATTAAAAAATGTATATTTTGACAATACTACATTACAGTTAGTTTATTATTTTAGATGCCTTTTTAAAAGACTACAACTGAAAAATGTATATATTATACTGAATATAAATTTCAAACCACCAAACTGGGGTGCGTTTCCCGTACAACGACGTAGTTCGCTGCTTCACTACCATAGTTCGATGCATCGTTGGAAAAATCAACCATAGATATCTATATAAAGGCTAGATGACTCACGGCGGAGTATTTATCGTCATCACCGGTGTCCATCTTGTCACAGACAGGCTTTCTGGCGGGCTCTGGTATCTGATGTAAGAAATACTCTTATCTTGTTGAAATCTTGACGGATTTACAAACGGTTTGGTTTCTTACAAACGTTATTAACGTGGCTATAATTCTGGATGATTATTTATTTATACACTTATTATTCATAAGTATGCAGTATCATAACTACATCTCTGCCGTTTATAACAAACCAGACCGTTTGAAAATCGGTAGAAAATTGAGCAAGTTATGGTGATTTAAAAAGTACATGCACCATTAAAACAATGTTACGAGTGAGCGAGCTGCCTGTGACAAGATGGCCGCCAGGTGCTGACGTCGACGTCCATTGGCCAGCAGCGCGGACGAGATATCTAGCCTTTATATAGATATCTATGAATAATATCTAGCTAGTCACAACTGTTTCCCGAAACCCACTGTATCGTGCGTTGGTTTCGCACGTGGTGGAGTAATAACTACTCTTAATGAAACTGTTTGAGATCCAATTAACGCTAGATTTTTTATATAAATTACTGTTCTCAGTTATTTTGCTTTATTACCAGACTCAATATTTGGCTCGTTCTTACATAGTAGAGCACGTTCGCATATGCGCACTCTTCAAAACACGTTACTTCAAATCTTTTGAAAAACTAAAAGACGTAAATTACATTTGTATATATTCTAAATAAAAGGCACCGGTTGTACTGAATGTCAGCTTTTTTTGCTCAAGATAAGTTTTTATTACCTCCAAATGTGATGCAATATAGAAACGATGCCTTTAACCACAGGTCGAGAGCTGTCGTTCAAACCACACAACTTTGCGATGCTGTTTGCGAATGTCTGTTGGAACGATGGTTTCGGGAAACACCGACTCGTTAAACTATGCAGATAACGACGGAAATTGCGACCATAGTTGGCTAACGATGCTTTCGGGAAACGCACCCCTGTCTAGTAGAAGTGACTGCGTTATCCAATTTAGGCCTAAAACGCCTGCTAAAAGATGCCTATGCCTAAGTACTTTTCTGAAAACCCCTTTTCTGAAAAAATGCTGGGTTGTTTTAACCCAATTTTGGGTCAAATATGGACAAACCCAGCCATTGTGTTACATTTTTAAATTACATTTTTAACCCAATGTTTGAGTTTGTCCATATTTGACCCCAAATTGGGTTAAAACAACCCAGCATTATTGTTATTATTTTTCTTTTTTATGTTAATAAAATGTTAAAAGCAATAAAAAGACAATTAAAAACAAACAAACAAAAAAAAAAACAACCCAGCATGTTTTAGAGTGGGGTTTCCAGAAAAGTTTGTCAAAATTTGTCAAAGCCTACTAAAATCTTAATTTCTCAGGCTCTATAGCCGATAAAAACATGGGATAAAAGCTGACACCGCTCAAAACGATGCGCACGTGTTTGCTGGGCGATCCGGTCACAGATGTGTGATCTGGTTTGAATGGGTTACGCCACTGCTGAAATAATATCAATCCTATTAGCAACATTAGCCAGTCTAAAGTGTTCCTGCTTTTAATACATGTGTGGTGTGCAAAATATGGCTTGGGTCTGACTATGGTAACACAATTCAATAGTTGCAGCTGACAATCAGTTTGAAACCATCCAACAAACATCTCATATATAAAGACGGGAAGGAAAAAGCTGTGTACGTGTGTGTGTGTGTCTGAGAAAAAGACAAAGAAAGAGAAAGATAGCAGAAGATATGAGGAGTGTTGTTTTACATCTAATGAAGAAACGTCTAATTGGAGCTATTCTCATGTGAGTGTGTGCTCCCAATGGGAGGTCAAAGGGTTAAGGGCCACGAGGCCAGGAATGCCTGACAGCACACAAAGCTAACCATCTCCTTCTCCCTGTAATGGGTTCCAGGGAATTAAATCAGTTATCCAGCGAGCCATTAATTTTTAACGACTCCTGTGTGTGAAATTCACTAGGCCACCAGCTGATGAGGGTTCAGAAATGCATGCTGGGGGAGAGGAAGAGGTTCGGTCTCAGGTGTGAGGTCGACGCGAGCGGGGAAAGGTCCCGGGTTTAGCCTCTCTGCCTGCTAAATGATGGCTTCTTCATAGCTGAGGAGAAAAGTCTTTGTCCTGTGTCAGACCTGCTGAACCTCGCTTTGACTCGTGGGAAATTAAAGTCACTATAGGTGCGGTTCATTATCTCACCTCTCCTAACAATATCATCTATTCTCTAAAGTCATCTCAGCCTGTATTTTCACCTTTTTTCTGCTAAGGAGAGAGATGTATCTTTTTTTTCTGTTATGAAATTCAATTCTGTCTCACCACAGAGAGTTACATAAACATGTGCAAGTGCATATCATACTCCCTGTTGTTAGTCTCTAGAGATGTATTTTTGTACTGAATGCTTACACTTGTGAATGTATCTTTTAATCCTCAAAGGACAAAATCTTCTATTTTTACTCTAAAACAATTCATATAATTTTTTTTCATAAGAACATGAAGGTAATATACAGTAATGTTGGCATTCCTAAATAAATATATACATAAAATGACATGCACTACCATTCAAAGGTTTGGGGTCTCTTATGAAGTCTCTTTGTGCTCTCCAACGCTGTATTTATTTGATCAAAAATACAGTAAAAATATATATATATATATATATATATATAAAAATTCTAGTGTAATATGTAATTTATTCCTGCGATGCAAAGCTGAATTTTCAGCATTATAACTCATTACATGATCCTTCAGATATCAATCTAATTAGCAGTTTTGCTCCTTAAGAAACATGTATTATCAGTGTTTAAAACAATTGTGCTGCTTAATCATTTTGTGGAAACCGTGATCCACTAACATTAAAAAGTTTGAATAAAAAGCAAGATAGAAATTAGTCATTTTTATTGACCAAAGATGCATTAAACTGATCAAAAGTGGCTAGGAATAATTTACATTTCAAAACACATTAAAATAGAAAACAAAACTGTATTTTTGATCAAATAAATAGAGTGCCGAAGTGATGACGTCACTTTGTAGGACAACTCGGAAGCTAGCGGCGCATGGGTTCCCTCGGTCGAAAAGCAATGCATTTTCCCCATAGACTTTTGGAAAATCACAAAAAATAAGATCTGTGTTTAACAAAGAGTTGTGACCCTTTCAAGTTTTGTCTAGCAAGATAATCTTTACAAATTAATCCAAAATGTATACATTTTGAAACCTATATAAAGATTTTAAAAAACACAATCAGACACAATAAAGTTTAAAAACCACAAGCAGGTTATAACTGTGTTCATATCATAGATCAAAATGTGAAAATATCTAGAGGTTTTGTTCACCACAGACCTTATTTCAAGCGATTTAGCAAAAACCCATTCAAAAATCCCATAGACTTTAGAGCGAGGGAAACATAGTGCTAAAATGCTAACTCACTTCCGCATTTTGGCCTACAGAGTGATGTCGTAACTTCGGCACTCTATAGAGCCGTGGTAAGCATTAAAGACAAAATCTGAATTATTTCAAAGGTATTTTAGGTATTTGATATTAGTTTATTTATAGTTGAAAATAACCTTCAGTGATTATATATGTTGATAATAGAACAACAATATCTGTTTCTTTTTTAGTTGGAGATGAGTAACCTGTGACGGGGGCCTCAATGTCCAGCATGGTCTTCTCCTGGCGCAAGATGGCTCCCCCCTCGTTGATGATGCGCAGGGCGACGGGCTCCTCCACGCGACCCTCTTTAGTGAGGTGAGCCTTCAGCAGGTCCACACGCGGTTTCCCCTCGCTGTCGAACACCTCTCGCATGTTCAACCTGTGGCTCAGCGGGAACGGCACCGCTGCCGAGAGAGAAAGAGAAGAACCTAGTAAATGGTGTAGAAAACCAAGAGGGAACAAGATTACAAAAAACAGACACATCCAGAATGCTGAACAAACTTTATTCCTGAATTCAGCTCGCATTCAGGCCAGGGCGCACAGGGCAAACTCAATAACACACTTTCAGAGGGCTTCCAGATGACTTTGTGAGGAGCTGGACTGACTACACAATTTAGAGGACGGAAACTCTGGAATATCCTACATAATCTACTGAAATATAATGCTAAATAATACTAGGGGTTAGGGATGGCTCGATACCACAATTTTGGCTTCGATACGATACCAGAACCTAATACCTCGGTATCGATACTAAATCGATACCACAGTCGGAAAAAAAAAGTCTAAATTTAAGTGAATTGAAACAATTTTATTAAACACTGCTTGAAACTCTCAACTACCATATGTGCAAAGAAAAGTATCCAAAAAAAAAAAAAAACATATCAAAATTTAAAAAATAAACAAATTATGTGTAGGTAAAATTTTGATTTGGGGAAAAAAACACTGATATTATACAATTAAAATAGGTTAATATCTATAATAATCGATTAACATAATAGAATAATGAAATGACGTAAACGCATCAACAGAGAATTATCAACATTTATTGCATTGATTCATCTTGGTTTGGTTACTGTTTGTGTTTGGGTTCATATTATGCATATAATGCATTGCAAAAAGTAATGTTATGATGCTAAACATTTATTAGGATATTACATTTTTAGGTCATTTAATTACTGATTGATCTAGATTAATCAATGCTATATTGTTAGTCCAAGTTCCTTAGTGAATGTTGACAAATGTAGCTTAATTGTAGGCTAATATTATTAATATTTATCTCTCTCTCTCTCTCTATGGGTCGCCACAGCGGCAGTAATGCCATTCATTTTACCATCACTTTTGTGCTTTATTAATTCAAATTAAATGAATATATTTGTTTGAAACTGCAAAAATGATGAGATCATGGTTCTAGCGTGTCATGCAAGAAGATTTGAGCTTTCGTGTTTACCATATCATATTTAATTGATAAGCTCTTATGTATGTGCGCTGTTCGGTGTTCAATAAAAGTCTAAATTAAATCAGTTGAATGATGAACTCACCAGTTGATCTCTTGAACAAGTCAGGATGAGCAACTGACGAGCGCTTTGGCAGATTTGATGTGTTGCATTCCATGTCAACACGTTATTGAAAGCAAAGTTTGCAGAGTGGTGCATTGAGGTCTGTTTCTACACTATTCTCATTAATTTAGTAGGCAAAGTTATGCCTTATTTCACTCATACTGCTCTCTCTATTTATTAATTTCGGGCGTGTAGAAATCCATTTCCACCGTGTTCCTTCGTTTGCCGGTTTCGCGTGACTCGCGTCAGTTTCGGTAGCGCACTGCCGCCTAGTGGAGAACTTCGGAACAGCAGCTCATCAAATACCGAATTTAACAAAATGATGATATTGTACCGTTTGAAATTTATTATATACCGGTATTTTTGCAATACCGGTATACCGCGCATCCCTACTAGGGGTGTAACGATTTTCGAACCGAACCGAAAAACCGCGATACTGAACTCACGATTCGAATCGTGATACTGTCCTTGAATTTAGGTTAAAAGTCTAGGCTACAACCTTTTATGTTATAGTAATGTGTGGCTCCCTATATAGTTTACAGCATAAGCAGATTTTTTTTTAATCTTTGTGAAATGATTAATTGTAATTTAAAGACAAAGACCTTTTTTTTTTCATTAAACCCCTGTTTAAAAAAAAAAAGCCATTTTAGCCATTTTTCTAAAACCGAACCGAGACGTCAAAACCGAGACGTCAAAACCGCGGGAAAACCGAACCGTCAGTTTTGTGTATCGTTAAGGTCTGTTCACACCGGGACGAATTTCGCGCCCATTATTCGCCGTCGTTTAATGCCTCGTGACTAAACAATGGACGCCAATGTGAGTGTGCACATGACGCGTAAAAGCATCATTTTCAAAAAAACGCCTCGGGCTCGTTTTTTTTAGTTTGACGCGGTGCGTCAAAAACTCTCAGACCAATGAGATTGGCACTTTTCCTCACCTGTTTGGAGCTTCTGAAGTTACAGTAAAACACAACTTGGGGGCGCTCAAACACAAAACGGTCTTGCTGAGCACACATATGCAATGGCGAAGAAGATATATGCCAAGTAGCGTCGCAGTCTACACTGCCAGGCAGAAATAAGACGAGGAAGATGCGAGGCGGGATGAATGTAGAGCTGCTGTTCAAATTGGTGCTAGAACATAAAGAACTATATGACAAACATGCCTGCGACTACAAACATCTTGATAGAGAACTGTTATGGAGTCGTATTGCAGAGCAAATTGGCGCCATCTAATGTCAAGGAATGAATTTGCATGTTCACTCGGCTCATCGTCAGCGAAAATTGTTTGGGTGTGAACACAAAAAACACATTGAAAAACGCTGACGAATAACGCGCGCTGATATTCGTCCCGGTGTGTACGGGCCTTTACACCCCTAAATAATACTATAATGTTGATTCTAAGTGAACAGGCTTGCAATTTTCAAATTGTAGACGACAAAACAAGTGAAAAATCCCATAGATCAACTTGAGGGTGGGCCAACATACCTAGACACGCATACCAGTAAATGTTAATGTACCAATTGCACATTAAAACACCAACACATCGCATTTCTGAACAGCTTACTTACAGTTGTTTCAACCTATTTTATTAGGATTTTACATTCGCCATGATCAGTCAAAAATGGGCCATTTTTATGGAATATTGTAGTATTTATAACTTAAATAACTTCCCCTCCGTCTTGCAGGGACATCTCTTCTCTTCTCTGATGATGTGTTTACAGCCGTGAGGGCGGGGCAACCTGTCACTCACATGAGATCCGCCAATAGCAAACCACAACCATCCAATCAATGCCTTGTGGAAATTGAGTCCCACACTACATTTCTTTTCTTGTTTGAGAAGCCGATTCACTCAGTGTGGTTCATTCTTGTGTTACGCAGCACGTTTGAGCTTCAGCAAGAACCAATGAGGTTCATTCTCGTGTTACGCAGCACTTTTGAGATACTGCATGAACCAATGAGGCTCATTCTCATTCTTCATTCGTGTTCCGAAGACGAACGAAAGTCTTCCGGGTTTTGAACGACATGAGGGCGAGAAATAAATGGCAGAATTTTCCTTTTTGGGTGAACTATCTAAGGCTGACAAAAAAGACAAAAAGTCTGTAGAAAGGTGAAAAGAGAGCAAAACTGTGGCTAAGTGTTACCGGGCAACAGCAGCCAGAGGTTGGCATGCCACCAGTGAAGCGCATCACACACACACACACACACACACACACACTGAGTCATAGCAGCCCACATGCTAACCCATTTCTACATCCAAAAAATGTGTTTTCAAAAACTTATTTTTCAGCCTGTGTTTAAGAGTTTGAGCCGTGCAGACGTGCTTCATCATCCAAAACAATAACTGTGAAGGAGATGAATTCAATCAGGAAACATTTACATATTTCAGAAACAGAGGAATGGAGTATAAAGAGCAAAGTTTCATTGCTCAGAGGTTGCTTTTGTTAGTATTAACTAGAGCCCGACCGATAAAGGATTTTGAAGGCCGATACAAATATTTTTGGGTTTTAAAATCCGATATTCCGATATATCGGCCGATATTTTTTTTTTATTAAACATTGTTGGATTTCACACACGTGTAAAAGAAAAGCTAACTTTTCTGCACAAGATACGTTTGATACTTTTTCTCTGTCTAAATGTTCACTCCTCGCAAGTATAACTTGACTGTGACTAGAGATATGCTAGTTATAAATACAGTAATCATTACTTTACTTAGGCAGAAAAAGTTAATTGTTGTTTCCAAGCTCATTAATGTTAACGTTAGCAGTCTTACACTGATGATAGTGGCATTAGCTAGCTTTGTGTTGAGCTAGTCTATGATGAGCCATAATTTAGCAATAGATAACATCATACTGCAAATTGTAAAACATACATTTTCAATATAACAGGCCAAGGAGAGATGATTGAAGCGTGTTTTGTCCATTTTTATTTTATAAATATTCATTTATCGCCATTATAACTGCCGATACCGATATTTTGGAAAATGCCCAATATCGGCCGAAAATATCGGTCTGGCTCTAGTATTAACTTTGTCTCAGAAGTTTTTTCTAATATTTCTTGGGAAAAATACAAATGGACACAAATGAGACAAAGATCGGCAGAGAAAGTATCGAGCTTTATGATGAATGTGGATTGTTCACGTTTAGCAGGTTTGGTTAAATTAAAATGAACATTATAGTGCGATTGCCCTGTTAGTGCAGTTCATTTGATTAAGTGTGAACGCTGTCATCGAACCCTGGTGTGCACCAAACAAGCGAACCGAGACCCACGTTTTCAAACTCTGCCATGGTTTGACTGAAATATGAACGCAACATGGATTTGGATGAGGGATATTTAAGTTTATAATAAAATGTCTGGCTTTTGATTGGAGAACATCACAAATGAGAGCTCTTTAATAAGTTAGTTGTTTCTGGATGAGATATATCGAGAGCAAAAGTATTTTCTTATGCATTCTTCCTCTCAGTTGTTTTTCCCACATGCGTCTCTGTTTCAGAAGAGACATCAACAATGTCTAACTGAATCTGGGATGAAGAATAGTGAATAGTGAGTTTTTGAAGCTCCAAAAACCGCATCCCATCCATCATAAAATCCATTCGGCTCCAGGGTGTAAATAAATGCCTTCTGAAGCGAAGCAATGGGTTTCTGAAAGAAAAATATTCATATATACAACTTTATAGAATCCCTGGCTTATGTTTGTACGAGAGAGTTGTGTTCTGGCAGTCGGGTGACCTCTGACCCGACGTATGACTGGCGTAGGCATAGCGGAAGCTTAGGTGGGAATTGACGCCTCTCACGAAAACCAAATAACTCTCTTGTGAATGTGCGTACGGAAGCCAGTTATTATAGTTTACA